GAAGCCGATTCAAATATAGTAACATTTAATGAGACTACTGCTAATGCTTCTTTTAATATACCAGTAATCAATATTATATTATTATTATATTGAACTCAGTGTTATATATAGGTCATAATTGAGTGTACTGGTGAATCTCCTGAGAATGCTACAGTTACTATAAAATGCAATGGAACTGGTGTTGTATTTACTAGTACTGAACTAGTGCAATATTCACAACCCAGAAATATAACAGGATCAGTACTAGTACCATTAAACCAAGAGTGTAATATCAGTATATTATTTAGTAATGGTGTTGGTAGTAGTGAACCATTTATACAAGCATTTGGTAAGTATTTTGTAAATGTAAATTTTATTCTGTAATATACTCCCAGTTACAATTGCTACATCATCACCTACCAATGATACTGGTGGAACATCTACTTCATCTTCCAAACCAACCATCCCTACTCCAGGTTTATTATATATAACACACTATCTTTTTCATTCACTGTATGCATAAATCTAGTGCTTGGAGCTGTTGTTGGTACTTTACTGTTAATAATTATTGTTATAATATCAATTATAGCAGTGCTAGTAGTGATAGTTAACAGAAATAGAAGTTAGTATTTTTTTATTGTATTATTATTATTATTTTTTATCAGAACGTGGAAGTTATGAAGTAAACGTAAGTACTGGTTTATATGTGCATGTATTAATGATTGTTCGTGAGTTATCATATAACAGGAAATTTTTGTTGAGTCATAATTTTTGTTTGTTTTGTTCGCCAAAATTCTGAACAAAAATAATGAAAATTTATAACTAAGTGAGCATGACTGGGTAAAGGAATAATAATTGATGTTACCATAATCAATAAAAATAAAATCAACAAAATATCTTGTAAGGCCTGCTTGAATGGACAATAAAATCTTATGGCAGTGAAAATTTTCTGCTATATGGTATTTAAATATTTTGATGCATCAAATAGATGAAACTTCCATACTGTATAGTGTTAATGCAATAGTTTATTTCATTTTAGACACCAAATAGTGAACAAGAACAACATCAACCCACAACCACAGGTAAGCACTACACAACACACACACACACAAGATGCTACT